TCACTCACCTTGAAAGCCAATCCTCGCGAAAGCCACTAATCGCGAAGCTACTAGTGATTGATACAAAATGTATGGAATACTATAAGAACTCCATGGCTAAAAAAGTGGATACAAATGTATGTATAAAACCAAGGAGTCTGTTTAAACATAGGTTTATGGTTTAACTGATAACTTACCCTCTAGGTCTGACATCTGGAAGTGATCTATTCAGTGCAATTTTATCACTTGCCATTAAATTGAATTCATTTATTTTCCATTTTTCATCTCTTTCTTTTTTAAACTCTGGCTCGATAATCACAGGTTTCCCTTGCTCACCTGGTCCATCTCGATTGACAGGTTTTGGCATATCTGAAAAAAAAATGCATAAAAAGATGAATACAATAACACTGAGAAACTATAGAAATCTTGCCTTAATATGCATATTTTAAAACTCAACTGGCTAGCTCTCTGTGACACACATTGATTAGCACTACATCTACTGTAACGTTATATATATTTACTGGGATAACCTCAATCTTTTGGCCTTGAATGCAAACGTCTGGTTTCTGCTGACCAGTTACTGGGCTTGTACACATGTGTGCATGAAGAACCTAAACAAACACTACCAAATACAAATAAATACATAAAATACTAATATAAACAACTGTACAATGTATGTCAATGGATGATACTTTCATGAAATTGATTCCATTCTTGGTGTAGCAATATTTTCAATCCTGTTGAATAAGTATTTGCACCAAAAATGTAACATCTTATTCAGAATATAGATACTTCTATATATAGAGGAGACAATTAACTAATTTGATAAGCTGGGTAAAAAGACAATTTTATTTAATTATTTGTACTAATATAGGAAAAGCAAAATATGCTAAATAGAGGTAAATATCATAGAATACAGATTTGGGTTTCATTTTTATGGTAAAAATAAATCTTCTCATAACACCCACCCTGAATCTTGTATGTTTCCATTTGCATGCTGGGTAATCAAACAAGGCGATGTAATATTTTCAGAGTAGCCTTGCAGTTTGCCAGGAACACACAGAGACAAATGTAACATTATTATATGCACACTGCAATGAGTACACAGAATATTGATTATTGCTGAACTAAAGCAAACTGATCATATTATTGATTGGTAAATGTTATGTCAATAAAGACTGGAGGTACCAAATAGGGGATAGAATTTCTAACAAATAAAACAGATGCTGCTGTTAAGTGTTAATTTGTGAATAGCTCTTTCACTATGATTTAGAACATAGTTCTGTAATTGAGGTGTCTGCTATTTCCAACAAGGTCACATTTTTTAAAAAGTTTAGATGTAATTGGACTAAAATTAATATTGATCAAAATTAAAGAACTTTTTCTTTGATTTGTTGACAATTTCCTTGTTATACATGTACCAATTAAAGCATAGCTCCTCATTCTCTGGGACCATGGCAGTGCATAATGAGAAATGTCCCTACAAAGAAATGTAGAGAGTGATTCCCCACAAGGGATGGTAGAGGGGGATCCCCACAAAAAAAAGATGCACATTGTAGAGATTGTAGAGTGGTCCTACAAGGGATTGTAGAGGGGTCCTACAAGGAATTGTAGAGGGGTCCCACACAGGATTGTAGAGGGAAGTCCAACAAGGGATTGTAGAGGGGAGTCCCACAAGGAATTGTAGAGGGGAGTCCCACAAGGGATTGTAGAGGGGAGTCCCACACAGGATTGTAGAGGGGAGTCCCACAAGGGATTGTAGAGGGGAGTCCCACAAGGGATTGTAGAGGGGAGTCCCACAAGGGATTGTAGAGGGGAGTCCCACAAGGGATTGTAGAGGGGAGTCCCACAAGGGATTGTAGAGGGGTCCTACAAGGGATTGTAGAGGGGTCCTACAAGGGATTGTAGAGGGAAGTCCAACAAGGGATTGTAGAGGGGAGTCCAACAAGGGATTGTAGAGGGGAGTCCCACAAGGGATTATAGAGGGAAGTCCCACAAGGGATTGTAGAGGGGGGATCCCCAAAAGTGATTGTAGAGGGGGTCCCCAAAAGTGATTGTAGAGGGGGGTCCCCAAAAAGAATAGTAGATAGAGGGGTCCCACAAGGGATTGTAGATTGACAGTGAAGGCAATTATGAAAACCACTAATATTACAACACTGAAATCTGATAGTTTTCCAAGTGAAAGGCCACCGAGATACTAATAATGAAACAAATATTTCCTGTCTGCGGGTCTACATATTTTCTGCCTAGAGGGTTTTGGCACATACATGTACATGTATATGCATCTAATGTATCCCAATGTAAATGCAAGGGTGAGCAGATCTGACTAATAATGTTACACGTGCCAATCCTGAAGCACTGTAAAGTAGGTCAGGATTACTTAATATGAGCATATATCAAACTTAATTTTGATTCTGAAAATTTGGAGTACGTACAATTGAAAAATATTTCTATCCTGTTGTGCATGATACACATATATGTAGGTATTTATTTTCCTTATTTTGACTAGTAGCTTCGCGGTGAGTGGCTTTTGCGGTAAGTGGGTTTCGTATCTGGTGAGTTTCGTGGGGAGTAGGGCTTTGTCTCAGTAACTGGTCCTTTCATCCTTATTGAGAATTAAAGTTTAATGTTTCTTTAACAACTGGCGCTATTCTGAGAATACCATCCTGGCAGGAGTTCCAAAATAAAATCCATGCTCTGATAATGCCTCTAGTTTCAAAGACCAATAAACATTATCATTATGATTTTATGGGTGTTGCAAAGGATAGTTGAATATTGTTTATTGAACTTAAAGTGCCTGTGCAATGCCCACCCACACGCTTCCCATTTTAGATCTGTGCCCCACTGAAGTGGGCAATTATTGATTTTTTTTGCTGAAAATGATTACTCGTATCCAAGTAAATTTGAGATATTTCCCGTGCTGTAGCCACGCCCACCTATCCTGAAACGGTCGACTGTTTCCGGATTTCCGACTCTCGCCGAAAGTGCGCCACCAAATGCAAAAATATGAGAGGAAGCCATACCCCTGGGCCGTACTTTTATATCACTGTGTCATCAACGTACAACTGTA